ACAAGGGATAGGACAAGAGGAAATGGCCTCCAGTTCACCAGACAGGTTTAGATCAGACATTAGGAAAAATTTCTTTACTGAAAGAGTGGTCAAATATTGGAACAGGCTGCCCAGGGAAGAGGTGGAGTCACCATCTCTGGAGGTGTTCAAAAAACATGTTGATGTAGTGCTTCTAGACATGGTTTAGTGGGCGTGGTGGTGTTAGGTTGATGGTTGGCCTTGATGATCAGAGAGGCCTCTTCCAACCTAATGATTCCATGATTCTATAATTGTTTATTTAGTGTTTAAGTAGCAAACTGCCATTATGTAGAACATTGGGACAGCTCCAGGACATGGAAAAGTTTGGGTCAGAATTACGTAGCTACCTCTTACCTCTCCCTTCCAATGAATCAATGGAATATGGGCATATTTGTATACTGCTCAGGTATCCAGGATCAGAGTGCAACCCTTTTGAGTGTCTCAAAAAAAATTATAAAAAAAAGACACTTTACTGGGTATTTTTATTGTTATTTTCATGGCAAAAAAAAGACTCGTTCTGAGAATGCCACTACTAGAAGATAGATAGTTTCACCAACTATTGTTTTTGAAGGTGTGTTTTTTATGGCTCAGATGTGCATCACCACGCCAACAGATGAGTTACCATTACTGGAATATCATGTACACTACACTGCTAAAAACTGCATCACTTCATGATAGAGAAGCCATGATTTTGAGCCAGGTGTAAGCTGGTGATGTATACATGTAAGGGGAATTTGTATTATCAGCTGGCTTGTGACCAATTCGGTTACACATAATAGTGTAGATAGATCTTTTCCATAACACTATTAGTTTACTGCTCCTTTTACGTAGATCCTCGATAAAATGGGCTTAAGTATTTTCTGTGAATTACATCAACCACGGTATGAAAACTGGTTTCCTGTAGATTTAGAATTATGAAGAAATCCAGTGAATCTAGGGATTCCACCTACCAACACTGTGGGGTTTGGTTTGTTTGTTTGTTTTTCAAATCTGAACAAAGATATTCAACATGCCCAAACCTGAATCACTCTCCAAACTCACTTCTTTGGAATTTCAGAAAGAAAGGGAAAAAAAAACAACCCTAAAATTTCCTGTGTTCAAGGTGAAGAGAAATCTTCTGTACTCTCCAGAGTATAAATGTAAGTAAATTCCTCACTACAGAAAACCTTGAATAGAACAGTCTCCCCCAAAATAAAATAGATAGTAAAAGAAAAGAAAGTTGAAAGTTGAAAGCAGTTGAAAACATAATCCAAACAGATAATACTGAGAGGCTGCTGGTCTGTGGAAATTTAAAAGCACAAAGAAATTTATGTCTAGAATAGAACAAGAAAACCTAACAGGAAGTGGGGCTAAAAGATCTGCTCTAAATCATTCACATTTCCTAAACATCCATCAAATTAGCTCCTACGTGCAACATGATGGTAACAAGAATTATGATGGCTAAGAGAAGGAAACTGAATCAATCAAAGCATTCCAATTTCCGTTCTAATGAAAAATAACTCTCTCATACATCTTGTAATACGTAGGGGCCTCCTCTGATATCTTGGTCCTCAATGCAGCATATAAATACTGTTCTTATTGTGATTTATTATGTTTCTAATTTGTATGTACAGTTTATACCAACACATCAAAAATTACAACTGTATATACAAAATCCGTTGTGGCATCCAGTGAGCAGGCTACCTCCATCTAATAATACAGCACAGTTCTTAATTCTGAAGATACTCCCATGGTAGCTTCAATTACAGAAGCAAGACATGAAAAAGCACCAACCATTTAATATTTTTCATGTCATTGTGCCTCATTATGCAATAAAAATAACATTTTAATAAAAACTTCATATTGTTGTTATGTCATGTAATTGTATATAGGAGGACAATTCAATACCATTGTATTTAATAACATCCCTCACAAAAGAACACCAGAAACACTTTCAAGCAATGAAGAATATAGTCCTATGGTGTGCAGAAATTCACAACCACAAAACTAGTAAATGTTTCCATATGGCATGTTAAGATATATCTACTGTCATTTTGTCTCTAAAGTACCAATTCAATTAGGCCAAAGGACTTAAAGGCTGCACCCTCAGCTTCAGGGAAGGACTGTGTGCTGTTAGGAGAGCTGGAAGAAGCTTAAGACTTCTTATGGATCTTTGTGAACCCAAATAGGCAAACAAAAAAGCACCTGAAGTGATGATACACCATGTGAATAGCAATGGAATGAGAAACTGTTCTCGGACACAGCAGAATTGCTACTTACAGGCTACTGTCACAGCTAAGCACTCAGTATGTACAACAAAAGGATGTGAAGAGAATTTTTCAGATATTTCAGCAGAAGCCCGACAGGCAAATATAAACCATTTTTGCAGGTAACTCTAGGATGAACAAAGTACAGTTTGATTGCCTCAAAGAAATTTGACTAAACACCAAATTAAAGTAAAAGTGAAAGTTTTATATTTTAGTAATATTAATTTAAAATAATCAATAATATTAACTCTATAGAATTAGGACAGGAAATGTTCAAATTCCCAAGAAAATATTTTCTTTATTCTCTAGAGGACACTGAGATGTTAGGCTGCATTTTTGCTTTAACGTTTTAAGAAAATTCTACTACTAATACTATATATATAAAGAAGTCACTGAGCTCTACAAGTGTGTGCATGCCAATAGATTGCATATGGCAAGAAGATATCCCATTAGGAAGTGCAGCACTCAGGAATAGCTATTTGCTCATTCACTTGAAAGTCTCCGATGTTACTAGATTTATATCTTCTTGCATTTTGGGAGAAGGAAATATACACGGATTGTTAGAGCAGTCCATAGCGCAACATCAACTAATCAAGACACACAACCTGGAAAAAACCCTAAAGATTACTGTGAAAATAAATTCACATGTCAAATCTAAGCTTAAAAAGTGTCTTAAATTGATTTTTTTTGTATTTATCACAGCAATAATGCTGCAAATGCCAAATATAAATTTAGCTTGCTGGCAAATATTAATTACAATTACTAGTCACCATGTCTTATTCCCATTAACATCAACAGAAACTTGCTGACTGAGCTTGAAAGGAGCTATCCCTTAGACAGGAACAGATGACAATTTGTCAGATTAATTGTGGTTCTTTCTTACATCTTTCAGAGGTAATGACTGTAATTAGCTCTTCACTTCCCAGAGAAAACTGATTTCACTGAAGTAATTGCATAAAATAGGTTTTTGTATTCTTATATAAAAGAAGTCCTCTGATGTTGGCAAATTAGAGTCAAGTCAATTGAACTGAAGATTACACATGAAGTTTATACAAAAGATGGACTTCCTTTCTGATCAGTGACTGACTGAAAAATGGGTTAAACACTATAACACCAGCTGCATGTATAGGATTTAATCAAGCAAAGCTTCCACTTCAAATAACCTTTTTTAATCTTGCAAGAGAGAAATAAACCATTTGAGACAGTTTGCCCACTAAATTGTTATCCCTTAAGACAGTATTTTCAAATTCCTCACTACTACTGTCTTACCAATACAGAAAAAGAAAAAAATAATCTGTAAAGCTTCAAATTTATTGGGGGAAATTTAGTAATAACTAGTGAAATGTAGCAGCCTATTACACACAGAAATAAACTAGATGTTTTAATCATCTTTGAACTATAAGACTATCAAAAGATAAAAAATTAACATTGCTCCCACAGCTCCTGAAGCTGCCAAAGCACGCTACTATTAAAAGCAGCTCAACATAATAAACCAACCATACTTAAGATAATCACTGTCATATCTGAGCATGTAAAAAATCTCTGAAATACTCATTCTCACAGTCCCCTGACAGGTAAGAAAATAATTCTGTTTGCTGGTGGTGAACCGAGACATGGAGAAACCAAAGACTAGATCAGCAATCAACTCAAGCACCTAATTTCTGTTCACTTCCCAAACTACATACAAATCCAAAATTAAACACTTCAAATCTTCACTGATAACTCTGGATTCAACCAGCCTCCAATAGCCTACTTCTATTTCTATTTCTATCAAAGTCCTGTAGTGCCTTGACTATATCTACTAATTAGATATTCATGACCGTTATGGACAGCTCAAGAAAGGTTATCATCATCCGAGGATGCAGATTAAGATCTGCATTCAAAAAATCTGCTGAATGAGGAAGTAATGAGCTGCACTCTCATCATTCAAACACTTTTTACCAAATAAACCAATGAGCAGGGTATAGGAAATCCAGCTTCCATTTCTTTTTTTTTTTTTATGTGTCAAAGCATTCGATCCATACCTCGTACAGCCAGGCAGTCCTATGCATTAGGATGTAAGTAAGAAGAGAGAGTCTGAGTTTTAGCACTGAACAGATCCAAGTATCCTGAATCACGACACAATAGGCAAGACAACATATGAACATGTTATCTGGTTAAGGCACTTACTGGAGTAGGTGAAGAGGTACTGATATCATAGTTCATCTGAAATAGACACAATGCGCAAATATCTACTGAAACCCAGATTCTAATCCAAAGACTCTCTCATCCCACAAAAGTGTATTCCTGTATCTAAGTGACTTATACTTAATTCATTCTGGTTCAGTGAAACAGCCTCAACAAGACCAACTGGAAACAGACTTTTGGGATGTCTTGTTTCCAAGATATTCAACTTTGGAGCACTACCAATGAGGAAAAAACACAACTTCTTATGAATGTTCTGAACTTTTCAAACAGAAGGAAAGATAGCAACTTCCCCCTGAGGTCCTCCACCTGTTTTTAACCAATGTGGCATATGTAAACTTTTATAATTATTCTGAACAGACAGCGTATGTTATTTATGTCACAACATTACAGGACTAATAGAAACTGCAAGTAATGTCAGGTAGATACACACAATCAGTACGCTGTATTCACACAATCAGGTGCAGTATTGCCACGCAGCAAGCACTGATCTTTCTTATTTACATCAACAGTTTTGCCATATGCAAGACCAAGAAGCAAACGAAGGCTTACCATTCCCACACCACAAACGGTTCCATCAGCCAAAGGCATGTGCTGAGTACGACAACCCTTGTGAACACCTTCTGTACTTGTGCACCATAAGCGTTTGCATTGTTTCTAAAAATAAAACAAAATTACTTTTGTTGTACCCGTAACACGATTTCAGACACTAGTTGGGATATCTGTATTGTTTTCTCACATTATTTGGGCTTAGCATTTGCTATTAGTACTACATTTTTCAGAGATAAAATCCCACAAAAACAAAATGGATTTTGCTTAAGCCAGGCAGGAAGGGAGAATATTTGAAACTGATCTCATTAGAAGTATTAGAAAACTTCATTTTCTAATTCTGTAGAAAATTTAATAAAAAAGTATGTAAAAGGTTATGGTTGATACTATGCAGCACAATTTGTGTATAATCACCACAAAAAGAACCTAACTGGAATTCTTCTTAAAAATACACTGACTAGAAAATTAAGCAAGCCTCTTTTTCAAGTTGTTAAAAGACTCTTAATGGACAAATAACCTTATGGATTACAAAATTTACAAAGCAGTCCTCAGTAACACCATCTTCAGGTCTTTGAATCTCCCTTTACTTTTCTATAATATTCCCGGTGAGGCTGACTCCTCCTAAACAACATTCTACCTCACCAAAGCTGCACTTAATTCAGTTGAATCTGATCTTAAATTATCTCCTTTAAACAGCTCCAACAAGCCATTCAATACTGGTAGAGGTATTTGACAAACTGGTCCAAAATCTAACTCTACATGACACGTTGACAGTAATGAAGTCATAATGTTATATTTGTATTTATTTTACATTGCACTGTCAACAATAAGATTTCAAAATACAACTTAAGTTTCAATATTAATCTACTCAGGTTTTCTTTCCAGATCCAAACTTTGCTTTAAAGAAATTTTTTGGCTAAGTCTCCAAAATGTACACTCTAACAGGCAGGAAAATATTTTTTGACTCTACAGAAGAAAAGGGAATCTACACTTTGGAACAAACATTTAGAACAAGTATTTTAATTAGTATAGTAACTTTCAAGTTATAAATTTTTTAAAAGCACTAAGAGAGGCAGATAAGAAAGACCTGTTAATGTAAGATAGGCACATAAATGTGAAAACATTTGTAGAAAGTGTTGAAATAATTCCCTTTCTGTAGTTGCAGGAAGCCTTAAATTATGCAGCTTTAGATCTTTTGAAGGAATTGTAATCACCCTCACAGATGTGCAAATCAAAATGAATGTATCCTACTTTTTAATTCTATATATTTCCAGCATATGGAGCTGCAAAGCTCTCCCCTGAACTCTTCCTCCTTCGACAGAATGGAACCTGAACTTTAACATAGTTCAGGATAAAATTTTTCCAGAACTAGAAGTCCTGAGATTTCATTTCTAAACCTATCTTTCAGTACTTTTTACTATAGATTGAGCATGACTTTGTGTCTCACCAGATACGGGCACACTTGTGATCCAAGACCAAACATAAGTTCACACTGCTTGTTGACATCATACATTGACCCAGGCAGCTGAGAGGAAAGATCGTACATTCTTCCACTAGGTTTGTCTAGGAGGCATTCACCATAACCAGTACTGTTGGAAAAACAGGAATAAAATGTGAATAAATTGCTCTTAATTCAATCGGGAGCCTACTCACACAACACTTACACATGCATATCTCAGTGGAATTATCGGTTTGCATGCCTACCTGCCTATATAATGACTTTAAAATTAATAAAATAAACCAGGTCACTTAATTTTCCTCTATTGGATTTTGCATAAGATCCACTAAACAAAGCTTGAGTTCTTTTGCTTTCTGGCTATCATTTCTCATTTTCACATTCTTACAGGAAAAAAAGATGGTACTGCCTAAATTACACCTACCATTCATTTTTTAAATAAAAAAATTCCAAAAATAAATTGTGCCCATTCTGACCTACTAAAATCATACTAAATGTATTTTCAATAATCAACACCACTATAATAAAGAAATCTAAAATCTTCTTAGCTTTACATGTTGAGTGCAACTTTAGCAAAGTCATGAATCATCCAAAGAGTTAAATACATGTATTTTTCTGGAGGACCAGGGCCCTACAAGTCAGTGGTTAAACCTAAGAACACCACAAAAATGGTATTTAAGCAATACCTTTGAAATAATTCTCAGAAAGACATGACAATGGGTGGGAAAAAATCCAACACAGCATTACATTGATACCTACTCAAGAAATTCGGTGATGTATTTTTGACTGCATTTTGACCAGGTCCATGGACTTGTATGGTAATTTAAAGTTGGAGCCATCACATGGTATTGATGTTTAATTCCAGCTTCTTTACATTTAAAACTGTCATCATGAGGTACATTAAATCTAAAAAGCAAAATAGACAAACTCCAAAACAAATTCAGCAATAATTAATTGAAACTCTCTTTGTTGTAGCCAAATGCTTTGAAAACACCTTAAAATTTAATGGGACTCACTTAATATGACTATCTGACATTATGGCAATAGGTATCTCAAAAATGCCTTACAAAATTCTCTCCTCAACCAAAACGCTCCTAATTATATAGTGCTGGGCACAGGAAGAATTTTACAGTTACATAGTTCTTTAGCTCACCAGAAAAGTTCCAGTGTTTTGGGTGTATGCCACTTTAAATGAACAACCCATCTCCTCAACTGAATATACAGGCCATCGCTAGACTGTCCATAACATACTACACCGATATTCACAACATAACTCTTACTATTTAGTAAAAAAAACAAAGTACAGAGCACATCAACAACATACTTATGCAACTAACACATTGTCTTATTTTATATCTCAATTTAAGAACCATGACAAATGGCATGTATCTAAACGAACTTCCAGGCACATGAAAATCAACAAGCTAGCTACTGAGCTCTGTAACGTTGTTGTTACCTACACTGTGGCATGCCTCATGGAGCTAGAGTATAGCACCTTTCTGCCATCACTGATGAGGTATGCTTCATAAAATAAAATGCTGCCATCTCCTCTTATTTTTCTGTGTAAAGTATTTCTCTTTGTGTTACTCTATTGTATTCTGAAAGGATCAAACACAAGGAAGAATATTTCTGCGTTACATTAACAATTGTCTTGTCTTAAAGGTAAATTCCTATCAGGGCTAGAATACAGTTGGAGTTAACAAGACTACGTTGCACACCTGAGATATCTGTCCCAGTGTCCCAACCAGTTTACATGACAAAAGGATAGAATATAGCTGTATGGCCAGTATTTCCCATAACTCAGGACACCAACCAGGTTATAAAATTCACAATTTCTCTACTTCTAGGTGGTGAGCAGAGCTGGCTCACTGCAAACGTCAAAAATAATGACTCTTCTAAAAGGATGTAGCAGACTGCACCCTCTTAGAAACACAGAGCTCATCCCTGGAAACTAGTCATATTCAAAAAGAAATTTTTAAAAAATTACCTGCTGGGAAATAGGTACTTACACATGTCCAAGCTCATGCGCTATAGTAAAAGCAGCACTCAATCCATTTTCTTCGCTTATAGAACAGCTACGTAGTGGGTCACACATTGTACCTAGCTCTGCTAAACCTGCAAAATTTAATCCTTATATAAAAGCTTAACAGAATGAATTTTCATGTAGAAGGAATGACTCTATAAACAAATACTATGGCACCCGAGTTGAAAGTCATGGCTCAAGTACACAGCAAATTTACACAAAATGAACAACCACATGGCACCAAAGTACATGTCAGTACAAAACAAGCTGGGTTTTTTGCCTGTGTGCCTAAATTTTGTATCTATTTTCTGATTTACTCCCAACTGATTTTTCTCCCTACAGTGAAATTCTCATATATTTTGTGTTATAAAATCATACTGATTAAAAAAGAATAACTCACCAAGAGTATCACACTTCTCTCTAGCTCTGCAGATATCTTCCCTTGAAGGAAAAGAGTTATTTAAAATTATTACAGCAAAGAGAAATGTTTTTAAAAGTATTTTACTGTTGCTATATTAATTGCAGCAATTGCAAATCTGATTCTCAATTTTTATTCTTACAGTCCATTCAAACAATTTGCATTCTAGTGAAAGAAGTAATATAAATTCACCAGACTAAGTTCACAGTATTGCTTTCTATCTAGCTTGCAAAGAAGAAAAAAAATAATCAAGTATTATGTTATGTCTCTATAATGCAGCAGGTAGATCAAGCATGAAACGCTGCTGAAAAATGTGCAGATTGCAGAATACTTGACACTACCTTATGTAGTGGAGCATCTACCAAAATAACAACGTAAAACTCAGGACAAATATCAAACAATTTGAAGTGCTGCAGTGTGTCCAACTTGAACACTGGGGGAAGAAAAATAATGAAAAGGAACAGCAAAAGAGAGAATATATTTCAATGACTGGACATCAGAACCTTCACTGAGGCAATCTGTGTACAGGAAGAATATATACTAATATTTAAATGTTTTCCATTTGTAAGCTTTTGGTAGTTCTAATTACACCTGTGCTATCAGGAGCTGACCGTCTCTGCATCCTTCACCTGATTCCATTAGTACAACATTCTGTCCCTATTGCATATATCTACAATGGTTAAAGACTCCATTTCCTTATAAGTTTCAGGTCTAAGTACTTTCGTATCCTCTTTCGAGAAAGGTTCATCAGATGCTTATAGCTACCAATACAGCACTCTCAGAGTAATTGCTCATGTATTGGTAATCAGCGGCTTGGGAAGTACAAGACTTTTTATTCACTTCAATTATCTATGAACTGTATCAGTGGAATGGTTAAAAAATGATGTTGTAAAAAAGAAACTGAAGCACTCGTCTCACCTAGCTGAGCAATTACAGCTATTTCAGATACCATACCTAGTGATAAGAACAGCAGTATCATGATGAGAAGGGTGAGCATCATCCAAAGTGTTTTGTGCTTGCTGCCATAAGCAAAAATTACGAAGAGTGGTAGCTGCATTAAAAGTGATAGCTGGTCCTTCCTAAACAAGAAATGGCCAAAAAAGTAAATAAGGGGTTTAATATTCACGTACTTGCACTTATTACTTTGTCATTTGTGCCCCTAATCTGCAAAGCAATGACTGTGAATGGAAAGGAAGTCAGCACAACTCCACGTAAGAGTTCACTCACACAGATTTGTTTGCAAGATCACATCTTAACTTAGCTACAAGTCATCCGTCATAAGAACCCATTATTTTAATCAATGTATGTGAGCATGCACCATGTGCTAAATATTAAAAAAATAGAATGACAAGACATTTATGATAAATATAAAAACATGTATTTGAGAAGTGTATCCTTCTTACAATCTCAAAATATTACAGCTTTTAGAGCTGAATTCCCTCCACTGAAACCCTCTATAAAAGCTGCCATTTCGCTATCATGTTTCCATGCATATAACCACACTTTACGTAGTTATGCCATAAGCTTTCGTATAGTATCTGATTTATACCCATTTAGGTCAAAAGAAGGTGCTAACAGAGAGATGGGTAAACACAATCATTAAATAAAGGCTCTGCAATAAACTCACATTTAACATTTACTCTCCTATTTTAAAACAAAAATTTATAGTTAAATAAAATATATTGTATTTAAAATGAGAAAAAATTAAACTTTGGAATTACAATGCAAATTCACGTATTTTGTTTCTTCTATTAGAAAGAAATCTTTTTAATATTTATTTTTCCTACCTGTTCGTTGTGAATTACAATTAATTTTACAATAACTATATTTATAAGGTTTCCAATACTTGAATCTTTATAGATTGCTGCAACCTAAAGAGAAAAAAGTCAGAAGATTAGAATATTAAACTCATTTGATAAACCATATCTCTTTTTGCCATGCAAACAAGTTACCAAAGAAAACCAAGCTGCTACACAATAGACATCTCATGCATCCATCTGTACCTTTCTACCCAAGGGTATGGTGACAAACCCCAAATAATTGCCCAGTTTTTAATATCCAAATAGTTATAATTTTACATTCATCTCCAAACACTTAGACACCATGTTGAAACGCTAGTGTAAAAAGTATACTTATTACATACCCTAAAACCTGTAGTTTAATGATAAAATATCAAAGAAAGAACAAAAGTAACGTTACTGCGACTATCATAGACATATGCTGGTTTATGCAGACGATTTGTAGAATCGATACCTAATATATTAGAAGGTTTTAGAAAGTGACTTTGAACCAATAAGTTTTTGTCCTTGCTTTTAATGGATGCTGAACTGAGTTGTAAAGTTGTATTGAAAATATACATGACATGTACAAAGGTTTCTTTCCTCATTCATAAAATTCATATTTACATACCCAACAGGCATTTTTATATATAATCTTGCAGCCAGATAGTAAAAATCATGAGTTAATTCCATACACCAAAGTGAACCACTTTGAAAGCTACTCTTCATAAAAGCAGTAAAAAAGTTTATTTATTCTCAATAATCTTCATACATCCTTTCCATACAGATTCTACAATTTAGCTTAAAGCAATTGTTGAATGACAGCCTTGTCTAAACAGGAGTTACCACCAAACAGGAATACTGGATTTCCTCCCTAGTGGCACGTGCTAAGGCTGCAAGGCTACAAAAGTAACAGGATCAGGGAACCGATCCAGCTGCAAAATAATATTTTTTTTCATTTTTTTATCATGTTATGTTGATCAACATGACCTCATTCCTGGTGCAGTCCCTCCGACACAGGTGCTGACAGAGGGAAATGTGCAAAAGAACAGACTTCTTCCAGAAGCAGCCTACACTTGGACTGGCTCAAATTGCTTGTGAGACCATAGCCTCACTGTCTGTGAATCCTATGTACCTGAGACCAAGTAATTCTTCTAAAAGTTGGAACTGACAGAGCACTGGCTCCCAACTCATACTCTCCCTTTCTCCAAACTGGAGAGAGCACAATGCACAGCCTTGTTCTTCATTCTTTTGTGATACACAAGCTGGAAATAGAGGATTCAATAAGCACAGGGAAGGAGCCCGAGTTTTGGAATCCATGTGGAGAACACATTTCAAAGCAGCACAGATATTATCTGTTTTATTCCATATGGACTCTGTTCTTGGTTACTAACTAGCAAGTGTCCGATTATTCTGAGGTTGGAATACGGAGCATCTCTCAAGCACTCACTGAAGAGATCAATCAGGCGTAGACACATTCATAATATCTTTATCAAAGAAAAGGTGCTTGTAAATGCTCAAGTACTATTTAGGCTGAATGAGTTAACTGAATTTGAATGGAACAAATCACCATTTTGCTACTATCGAAACTACTTTTAAACTACAACAAGCTATTAAGGCTCATAATGTGTTCGTCTTCTTATAGTTTGGGATCCACTTTGATAAACATAGAAAGGATATTTCTAGATATTTATCCTCCCCAAGAAATATTACAAACAGTCAGGGTATGTTCCTGCATGAATCGTCATCTTCGAGTAACACAATTATCACATTCTTCTCAGCTCACGCAACTAACAGTAAGAAAGCTGTCTAAATTCCATCAACAGTGAAGGAGAAAGAATGAACTGTTGTGTAAACATGCCTATCTGAAGATTCATATTTAGATTTATGTATTTTCATACAAGACAGTAAGATAAGTTATTTCATTTCTTCATCGCTTTACTATGGAGGGAGACAAGATGTCTACTTTTCAGCTGTATGAGGCTAGAGGAGATTAATTCCAGCCCAACTCTTTCAAGTTTTATTTCTCTTTAGCAAAGAAGAAACAGAAGATGAGTTCATAAGCATTCCAAAATCATGTCAGAGAGAAATCTGAAATGAGATCTGCAAAGGTCTTTGGCTTATAATGTGAAGACACTTATCTCAAGGATTGACTCCCCTACCCCTTAAGCTGATACGAGAGCCACTTACAACAGAGAATTTGTTGCAGCATAAACCTATACAAGATTACATGCAACAGAAAGATCTGTTATGGAACAGGTAACAAAGCCAGACTGTTTCATGTATATTTATTTATAACGCTGAAACAGACACTGCTATAGAAATACAGTAAACAATCTAGAACGATTTGGGTTGGAAAGGACCCTTAAAGATCATCTAGCCCAGCCTCCCTGGCCATGGGCAGGGACACCTTCCACTAGACCAGGTTGGTCAAAGCCCCATCCACCCTGACCTTTGACTCTTCCAAGGATGGGGCACATCCATAATTTCTCTGGACAACCCATTCCAGTGCATCACCACCCTCATCATAAAAAAAATGTCTTCCTTATAGCCAATATACCTTCTACTAGTTTAAAACTGGAACCCTCTTCCAGTTTACAAATGTTACACCTTGTCCTTAGTAAAAAGTCTCTCAATCTTATGAGCTGTTTTTATATATTGAAAGGCTGCAATAAGGTCTCCCCAGAGCCTTTTCTTCAGGGTGAACAACCCCAACTCTTTCAGCCTGTCCTCTTAGGAAAGGTGCTCCAGCCCTCTGATCATCTTCATGGCCTCCCCTGGACCTGCTCCAACAGGTCCACATCTTTCCTGTGCTGAGGACTCCAGAACTGGACACAGTATTCCAGGTAGGGTCTCAGAGCAGAGGGGCAGAATCACCTCCATCAACATGCTGGCCATGCTTCTTTTCATGTAGTCCAGGATATGGTTGGCTTTCTGGGCTTCAAGTGCACATTGTCAGCTCACATCCAGTTTTTCACCCACCAGCACCCCCAAGTCCTTCTCCACAGGGCTGCTCTCAATCCATTCATCTCCCACTCTGCATCGATACCGGGGATTGCCCCAACCCAGCTGCAAGACCTTGCACTTGGCCCTGTTGATCTTAGGTTCACATGGGTCCACTCCTTAAGCCTGTCAAGGTCACTGTGGGTGGCATCCCCTCCCTCAAGCACATCAGCTGAATCACCCAGCTTTGCTAAGGGCAAATTCCATCCCACTGTCTACGTCATTGGTGAAGATATTAAACAGTATTCATCCCAATACAGACCCTTGAGGGACACAGCTTGTTACTGGTGCCCACTTGGACATTGAGCTATTGACCTGAAGTGGTCATCCAGCCAAATCTTTATCCATTTAGCAGTCCACCCATCAAACCTCTCTCTCTTTCTAATTTATCAGCCAAAATGTTGTGGGGCACTGTATCAAAGGCCTTAGAGAAGGCCTAGTATGTGAGAGGAAGACTCATTTCTGATCCTGGGTGATTAGAATGATCTGAGCAAGCAGGTTAAGGTGGAGCTTTGTTGGGATTAAAACTCAGCATATCTTGTTCTTATTTATGGTTATTACTGTAGTTGGATGGATGTTCCCTCGTGCACGTTAGCAGTCCCTTGTGCAAGTGCTGTCTCTCGAGGTTATCTGCTAACAATATCTGAAAGCATAGAGAAGGCAAAGAAACCAACAGAAAACCCAGAGTCAGGTGTCCTCCTTCTTGCCTGTTGACACAATGTCCGTTTAAAATATTTGAGCAAAATTATTTCTTCAAAACCAAATACAAGTTACTCATACCTCAGAGGAGATGCATTAGACTGAGTAAGTACAAGAAGAGAGAAGAATATCTCATTGCACACCTGAAGAGAATTTGTTGCAGGACCTTCAACACCATATCCATACACCATCTGAATTACGTACTGGCTGCCTCTGTCTGGAGAACAGCTGACGCTCAAAATAATGTCAGATGCCAGAGGCCAGCAGTTCTTGCCACAATCTGAAGCGTATTTTCTCTCATACTGGAGACAGGTAAGATCATGCTAAACAAAAGTAACAATGCTCTCATTAACCCTACATTTGAGTCAAAGTATGGATCTTTTGTCTCATGGGCACTTTCATGACCTCCCAACATTTAGTTATTACCACTGCTTTCAAAAGATCGAAGAACAAGACACTGATGATAATGAGATGCCCTTACCAGTGAAATAAGGTATATTCTGCAGGCCGGCTGAATATGTGTGAAGGGAAAAATCAGAAGGTTGAAAACCACAAATCAAACTTTAAGATTCACCTAGGAATCTGTACAGGCTAAAATCATCAACTGAGACTTGAAATGATATATCAATGCAGGAAAGTATCAAAGATCTGGAATACGTGAGATTCTTATTTTTAGTTGAAAAAAAAAAGGGATAAGTACTCTCTCCTCCTGTATTCTAAGGATACCTCTTTTGATGCTCTTTTATTGGAAGCATTCATGGAAAAGGATGATGAAATGGGCTAAGAATTTGATAGAATGCACCATTTCTTTACAACTTCCAGACCTATTTGCTTTACAGTGATCTAAATCCAGGCTTGACAGAAGTAGGAGGTAATAGACAAGACAAAGGGAAATCAGTTTCAAGAGATTTTTCAGACTCTTAAAACTAGCGACCACACCAAAGAACAGTTCAGACTGCACAACAATAAAGTGAAAAAAAAAAGCTAGTTACCCTTCAATGGAAGGATCACTCATTGCTTTCATTTTCATGAAATTCTCAAATACTAAGTCAGATCTTGTCATCGCCACCTGGGGCTGCCAGGTGACTGGAGGCAACTCTGTCACAACAAAGTTTAGTTACTCTTTATATTGCTCTTGTAACTGTCCATTAAACTGGGACTGTATATTGTGGCAAAATGTCCTGTTTAGAAGGGGGGGCTAGTAAACAAGCAGGTACATCTACAGGCAAGAAGATCAGTAAATGGTATACCCAAATCAAATTGGACTTTTTCAGCTCTTTTTTTCCTAAATGTTGTATCACAAGATCTCTTTTTCTTTCCCCTTGTCTGTTACACACGACCATGGTATCAGGAGAATATAAATATTCATCTCTCTTGAAAGAAACATGATA